GGTAAAAGGTAAAGGTTTCCCCTTGACATTAAGTCCAGTCATGCCTGACTCTAGGGGGTGGTGCTCATCTCCGTTTCCTAGCCGAGGGAGCCAGCGTTTGTCCACAGACAGTCTCCGTGGTCATGGGGCCGGCATGACTAAACACCAAAGTGCACGGAAAGCTGTTACCTGCCCACCGAAGGGGTACCTTTTTATCTACTTGCATTTGCATGCTTTCGAACTGCAAGGTTGGCAGGAGCTGGGACGGAGCAACGGGAACTCACTCTGTTGTGCAGATTCAAACTGGCGACCTTTCGATCAACCAGCCCAGCAGCACAGCGGTTTAAACCACTGTGCCACCTGTAGTCCCTTTTTATAGACCCTTATACAGCACCAAAAAGAGGAAATGCATCACTAACAAAGAGGTCAGAATTTTATAGCTTTGCATAAAGTTACAGATGCTGATGGAATTATTTTTGTAATAGTCATATAAATGGCATGCATAGGGAGAGGGTGGGAGAGAGACCTGCATGCCTTGTTTAGTCTGCTATCCAGGTGCTGTTGATGGGCAATTTCAAGGCTCAGCTTTTTCTTTGAATGATTCCTGGACGGGGCAGCCGCTCAGACAGAATAGGGGACTGCATCCTTTAAAAGAGGGCACATGGCCTCCCTTATTGGCTACTTGTGATAGAAACTAAGCACATGAGCAGGGGATGATGAGTGCACAATAAATGTAAAAAAGCTGTAGGAGACAAACTAGGCATTGTATTAGTCCTGTGACATGCATCTGTGGTTTCTCTTTTTCTAAATGCTACTGTAAGTGTGGGCCCATATCTTACTGGGACCACTATATTCCAGGAGAGGAACAGGGAATCTTCTACCACTACCTCAATTGGCTTCCCCAAATGTCAACCAATACAGTTTTTCCCCTTCCCTTTTGTTTACCTCTCCAGTGAGGTGCAGCGGATTTCAGGAAGCAAACACTGGGAGAAGGGAAGTTTTATTATCGCATCCCGGAGCATGGTGGTCACACTTGTTCCTGCTAGAGTAAAAAATCCAACAAGCCTCAGCGACATGCTTCCTGGTTAACGTACCGTGTAGTACAAGGCCTGGCAGAATCCTGATGTGGGTCATTCTACCTTAAGATGCCTGTAACTACAGCCTGTGATTCCTACCTGGCTGAGCCTTGTCTGAGAAGCATCCAATTACCCCTGTGCCTCAACAATTAACCAATTGCCAACAAATATGGGAAGGGGAGGTCTTTGAACTCCATGGGAGCCTCCACAGAGCAAGGCTGGAGTGGGCTCAAGCATGGCTTATTGTGCAAGCGTTAGGCCAAATGTCCCCTTTGTCGAGGCCTCTTTCCTTCCCTGGCACAGTTCCATTTGCCCTTTCCTAGCTTTCGATTGAAACCAAGCTGTTATTCGAGCATTCATATGATGTCTTTCAAATTCAATATTTAGAACTGAAACTGGAATTGGTTGCCAGGAAACCACTGTGTTCATTACAGAGCCCAAGGCAGTCTAACCTCACACAGAGATTCGATCGGTGCCTGTTTCTCTGGATAGATTCTGTACTCGGAGATTCTGTACTCGGAAGTGACATATGCACAGTTCATTCACCTGAAATTGTGCAGTGAAAATCTGAATTTCAAATTGTGATGAATGTTCAGAACTGGAGGTGCCAAACCCCCTAGTAAAGCCTATTGAAATCTGTGGGGCTTACTTCCGATCAGACACGCAGAAGATTTTACTGTGATACTGTTAGCACCATTGGCCTGGGTTGCAAACATCTGACTATTTAGATGCTTTGGATTCCAGCTCCCATGATCCATCACCGTCAGGTATACTGGCTAGGGCTGATGGGGGCTGCAGGCCAAACACCAGTAGCACCATGATCTGTTCTGTATCAAGAGTCTTCTACTTTTTAGTCTGAATGACTTGTTTCCCCTGGAAGGGCCAAGTTGCTGCTCAAATATGTGCCAAATGCCTCCTCCTTTCCTCCTCTTCCACTACCATCCTTTATTTGTTTGACTTTTGCTCCCTGGGAATTGATAAACATTTCTTTCCACATTTGTTGTTGTTAGTCGTGAAGTCGTGTCCGACCCATCGCGACCCCATGGACAACATTCCTCCAGGCCTTCCTGTCCTCCACCATCCCCTGGAGTCCACTCAAGTTCACACCAACTGCTTCAGTGACTCCACCTAGCCACCTCATTCTCTGCCATCCTCTTCTTCCTTTGCCATCACTTGTCCCCAGCATTAGGCTCTTCTCCAGGGAGACCTTCCTTCTCATTAGGTGGCCAAAGTATTTGAGTTTCATCTTCAGTATCTGGCCTTCTAAAGAGCAGTCAGGGTTGATCTCCTCTAGGACTGACCGGTTTGATCACCTTGCGGTCCAAGGGACTCTCAGAAGTCTTCTCCAGCACCACAATTCAAAGGCCTCAATCCTTTTGCGCTCAGCCTTCCTTATGGTCCAGCTTTCACAGCCATACATTGCAGCTGGGAAAACCATAGCCTTGACTATACGCAATTTTGTTGGCAGGGTGATGTCTCTGCTTTTTAGTATGCTGTCTAGATTTGCCATAGCTTTCCTCCCCAGGCGCAAGCGTCTTTTAATTTCTTGGCTGCAGTCCCCGTCTGCAGTGATCTTGGAGCCCAGGAAGATAAATCTATCACTACCTCCATTTCTTCCCCATCTATTTGCCAGGAAGTGAGAGGACCAGATGCCATGATCTTAGTTTTCTTAATGTTGAGATTCAAGCCAACTTTTGTGCTCTCCTCCTTCATCTGCATCAAGAGGCTGTTTAGTTCCTCTTCACTTTCTGCCATGAGAGTGGTATCATCTGCATATCTGAGGCTGTTGATATTTCTCCCAGCAATCTTAATTCCAACTGGTGATTCATCTAGCCCCGCTTTTCTCATGATGTGCTCTGCATATAAGTTAGACAGGGCGACAGTATACAGCCTTGCCAAACTCCTTTCTCAATCAGTGGTTTGAGAAAGTGGAACCAATCAGTGGTTTCATGTCCAGTTCTCACTGTTGCTTCTTGACCCGCCTATAGGTTTCTCAAGAGACAAAGAAGATGGTCTGGTACTCCCATCTCTTTAAGAACTTGCCACAATTTGTTGTGATCCACACAATCAAGGGCTTTAGCATAGTCAGTGAAGCAGAAGTAGATGTTTTTCTGGAACTCCCTAGCTTTCTCCATGATCCAACGTATGTTGGCAATTTGATCTCTAATTCCTCTTTCTCTTTGAAATCCTGCCTGTACTTCTGGTAGTTCTCGGTCCACAGACTGCTGGAGCCTAGCTTGTAGGATTTTGAGCATAACTTTGCTAGCATGTGAAATGAGTGCAATGGTGCGGTAGCTTGAACATTCTTTGGCATTGCCCTTCTTTGGGATTGGAATGTAAACTGACCTTTTCCAATCCTGTGGCCACTGTTGAGTCTTCTAAGTTTGCTGGCATATTGAGTGTAGCTCTTTTACTGCATTGTCTTTTAAGATTTTGAATAGCTCAGCTGGAATACTGTCACCTCCACTAGCTTTGTTGTTGCTCAGACTTCCTAAGGCCCATTTGACTTCACATTCCAGGATGTCTGGCTCGAGGTCAGTGACCACCCCATCGTGGTTATCAGGGACGTTAAGCTCTTTCTTATATAGTAGGGATGTTAAGCTCTTTCTTATATAGTTCTTCTGTGTAATCTTGCCACCTCTTCTTAATCTCTTCTGCCTCTGTTAGGTCCCTGCCATTTTGGTTCTTTATCATGCCCATCTTTGCATGAAATGTTCCCTTCATATCTCCAATTTTCTTGAAGAGATCTCTGGTTCTCCCTGTTCTATTGTTTTCTTCTATTTCTTTGCACTGTTCATTTAAGAAGGCATTCTTATCTCTTCTAGCTATTCTCTGGAATTCTGCATTCAATTGGGTGTATCTTTCTCTTTCTCCCTTGCCTTTCT